CAAGAGTATGGAATGATCAGAAATGTTGGAAGCAATCAATTCACATGGCACTAAGAGACCCTGGAGACCCTGGTGGGCTCCTAAAGGTGTCGGTCAGGGATTTCCGACTCCTTGATAATCGATTAATGATCTTTGTATAGAGTTGAGAGCAAAACAGTAAAGACCACAGGCTTCAAGATAGTTGGCTTGAATTTTTTGTTTTGTTTTGTTTTGAGACAGGGTCTCACTGTATAGCCTAGGCTGGCCTCAAACTCAAATCCTACCTTCACCTCCCGGGTGCTAGGAGAAAAAAAAAACATTTAAAAAAAATAAATTGCAGTGGTTTGAGGTTTGGGGGATTTGGAATTTGAAACCCGCTCATTATGCTATTTCCTCAGCAGTGGGAAAGACAGCCTGAACATTTCACTGTGCTATCTTTTTTAAACATGAGACTTTGACAGCCCTGATAGTCATGCTTAAAATAGATCCATTTGGGAACAGGTTATTGATCATGTGTCAAACAGCTCCCGTTCATGCACTCTGGTGATCAGTAGCTGGTCTGCATCTGTTTCCTTCTTCAGCCTGTGCCAGGGATGCAGGGTCAGTCCCCTCTGCTGCTCCTTGCCCCATTCATGGAATGGGGCTTTCAAAGTGTAACCCAGGGCAAAGCTGACCTTTGAATAAAAAGACACATGGAATTTTTAGCTGCCCACTGTTCATTTCCCTTTCTTTTCAAACAGTGCCAGGATTTCTTGAGGGGAATTACTCCTCCCCGTGGCATACGCTTAGGCATTGCCCTCCCGAGGTTCCCTGTTAAACCAGTCCTGCCACCTCCTGGGAAAATAAGTCTAGGAAGCCCTAGAGCAGAAGAAAGTGGCCCAGGCTAGTTCACGGGCAGCATGTTGAAAAGTGACGTTACTTAGTGCCCACTCTGAGATCTCTGGAGCAGTCCACTTCCTGCCCCAATTCAGTATCACCCCATCTCCTTTCAAAAGAAAAAAGCTTATTCTTTTTTGCTTCACAAAGTAGGACCAAAGTTAGTTACTTGCAGCCTTAAATAGATTCTATGTCTTAAACGTTTTAGGCCAAGACAAAGTATTTACGTGGTAACATTTTCCCTTCTCTCTCCCCTTTAGAGACCACCTTTGCCTCAGTAAAGCTAAGATCCTTTGTCTTTTCAAAAGCATTATGATTTCCAAGCATTTTACTATGATCAGGCCCTTATAAGAGCATAAGGTCCCCAAGGGCAAGAGCAGCATGTCACCCTGGACACCAGTGTCTTGCAGTGATGTGGTTTTGATTGTATGCACAATCTACCTCGCATTTCTTACTCCAAGTCATTCTGAAGGGGGGATAGAAAGACGTGAATTGAATTCCGCCTGGAATTCCATTTCATATTTGAGATTCAGCAGCTGAGGGGCTTAGCTGGCGGTGAGAGCTACAAATCCCTGAACTTGTAAGCAAATGTTCTCTGTAGATTTTTAAGGTTCCCAGTTGTACTTCTCCACAGTCAGGATCTAAAGTGTTCGTTAGATGCTAAGATCTGTGACCCACAAGAGATTACAAATGACTAGCCACAGTCATTGATCTACCATTTGATCCAGCAATACCACTCTTGGGGATATACCCAAAAGACTGTGACACAGGTTACTCCAGAGGCACCTGCACGCCCATGTTTATTGCGGCACTATTCACAATAGCCAAGTTATGGAAACAGCCAAGATGCCCCACCACTGACGAATGGATTAAGAAAATGTGGTATCTATACACAATGGAATTTTATGCAGCCATGAAGAAGAATGAAATGTTATCATTCGCTGGTAAATGGATGGAATTGGAGAACATCATTCTGAGTGAGGTTAGCCTGGCCCAAAAGACCAAAAATCATATATCTCATATGTGGACATTAGATCAAGGGCAAACACAACAATGGGATTGGACTTTGAGCACATGATAAAAGCGAGAGCACACAAGGGAGGGGTGAGGATAGGTAAGACACCTAAAAAATTAGCTAGCATTTGTTGCCCTTAACGCAGAGAAACTAAAGCAGATACCTTAAATGCAACTGAGGCCATAGGAAAGGGGACCAGGAACTAGAGAAAAGGTTAGATCAAAAAGAATTAATCTAGAAGGTAACACCCGCACAGGAAATCAATGTGAGTCAATGCCCTGTATAGCTATCCTTATCTCAACCAGCAAAACCCCTTGTTCCTTCCTATTATTGCTTATACTCTCTCTACAACAAAATTAGAGATAAGGGCAAAATAGTTTCTGCTGGGTATTGAGGGGGTGGGGGGAGAGGGAGGGGGTGGAGTGGGTGGTAAGGGAGGGGTGGGGGCAGGGGGGAGAAATGACCCAAGCCTTGTATGCACATAAGAATAATAAAAGAAAAAAAATAAAACAAACAAACAAAACCAAATGACTAGCCACGTGCAAATCTAGAAGCAATTCAGCATTTATCACAGGTATGCTGTGTGTTGGGAACTATGCTAGGCATGTTCGGTTTTTCTGGTTTTATCTTTCCAGTAGCCTACTGCAGTGGTTCTGCTGTACCAGTAACTAAGGTACTAGTTATCACTAGTTATGACTAGTGATCGTCATAACTTTCATTGTGTGATTTCTGTGTGCTGAGTACTGTTACAAACATGTATATAAAGGAACTCACTTAATACCCTCCCAATCCTGTGGGCAGGTGGTGTTTATGATTTTTTCCCCCATTTTACAGATGATGGAACCTGAGGCACAGAAAAGTTGTGTCATTTGTTTGAATTGATTCAACCAGTGGCAGAGTCCCCAAAGGGTTGATTTTAGTATCTATTGTTTTGTTAAGTCATAGCTAACACATGGTTAAGCTGGAACTCAAGCCTGGATTCTTGTTTTCTTTAATGATCTAGCCACTAGTCAACACTTTCTGTACTCCATCAAAAGCTAGGTAGTGGTAGCAGCCGAATTCAAGCCTATATCTGTTTGATGTCTAAGCTCAGGCCATTCCTATTTTGTTCTCTGCCCTTGAGTCCCCTTTACTCAGCTCAGTCCTCCAGGGAGGCTGCAGAGAGAGAAAGGCTTCCTCTGTAGTGGACCTGAAGTACTTGGGAAGAGGCAAAAACCTTCCCCACCAATCTTCAGCTCCATTTAGATGGGGACTGGACTCTCCCATTATTTGCTTTGTCCACAGCAGACACAGCACTCAGTATTTGTAAATTCAATCACTCAGTGTGTTTATAGAAACAGAGATGGATTCTAGGACAATTCGTTCAGCTGTGAACTGTAGCAGGTGCCGTATAAATGACAGGTGGGTGTCATGAATGAGCGACATGACCCACTGGGTTACAGGAAGGAAACAAAGGGACTGAGCAGGGACTATTCAAAAGCACGTTCAGATATTTTCAATCCTTTAATCCTCACATTCACCCTCTGTGCTAAAGTGTACAAAGATTGCACAACTAAACCAATTGTGGTGGTACATGCCTATAATCCCAGCACTCAGAAGAGATTCCAAGCTCTAAGACAGCCTGAGCTACATAGCAAGACCCTGCTTCAAAAAAAAAAAAAAGGAATGCACAACTAATAGAACCATTGGGTTCAAATCTAGATGGTGTGATCTTGAAACTGCCTTTCCAATAAGGGTGATTGACTGGCTGTAATCCTCGTGTGTGCTCTTATGGAGCCCTTCTTGTGATCAGTGACATTTGCAGAAAACTTTGATCTATGTTCCTTTAGCCCCAGCCCTGAAAGGCATCAAACTGAAGAGCAAGGAAACTGGAGGGAATGAATTTCCTGCTCAGTGTGTAATCCAGTCACCCAAGTGGGGGGACTTTTTTTTTTTTGGCAGTACTGGGGATTGAACCCAGAGCCTGGTGCATGCTAGAAAACACTCCACCACTGAGCTACATCCCCAGTCCTAGAGGAGACCTTCTGGGACCAGTAAGATTAGAGCTGTTTCTCAGCATGAGAGCTAGACTGTTGGGGGCCCATCCTGTTCACTGTCAGATGTTTAGAACACCCACTGGATGCAACAGCAGGTTTCCCCATGTATCACAAACAATAATATCTCCCTCCAAATATCCGATGGTCCCAGGGTGACAGGGGTGTGAGGGAGAAGGCAGAATTACCCATGATTAAGAACCACCTGTTAAGAAATACGGATGCTCAGATGGGCATGTGTGCACACACATAGCCTGGTCTATAGGTTACTTTGGCACAGGGATTTTTTTCGGGGGTGCTGAGGGGAGGAACTTTTGCTTCAGTTTATAGGTGGTTTTTTGTTTGTTTGATTTTAATCTGAAGAGGAAACTTTACTTCAATCTTGACTCCTGTTTTGTGGGTCTGTGTGTTTCATAAAACCTTTCCATGGCTGGGCATGGTGGCTCAAGCCTGTAATTCTAGTTACTTGGGAGTTGGAGATCAGGAGGATTGCAGTTCAAGGCCAGCCCAGGCATAAAGCAAGACCCTATCTCAAAAATAACGAACACACAAAAGGCTGGGGGTATGGCTCAACTGTAGAGTGTCGCTTTGCAAATGCGAGACCCTGCATTGAACCCCTAGTACAAACCTACCCCCCAAAAATAAATTTTCCGAAGAGGTGACTGTCATAGTTAACACTATTAGCACTACAGTGTGCTTGATACTCTAAGCACTTTCCATGTGTTTTAAAATTTTCATCATCAGAGTAAGAGGGAGGTCCTGTTAGTCCCATTTCACAAATGAGGAATCTGAAGTACAAGGACTTAGACTTGGTTTTTGGTGAGTTGGGATTCAGACCCAGGCTATCAGATTCTCATTCATCTTCCTGCCTTAGACATCTTCCTCTTTTAGGATGCTACCTACACCGTCACCAACAGGTGCTCCTTCAATCCTTGACTTCAGACTCTTGACACTGGTGGTGAAATCTGGTCTGTCACACTCCCGTGCAGTGAAATTACACACAGCATGTAGTTTATGAAACACCAGGTTGAGTCGCAGACGTGCAGATGACAGCTGGCACTGACTGTGGGCGTATGTCCTTCTCTTGTGTCCACCAGAGTGTCTCTACGTGTTCCCCTGCCAGTGGAACTACCGCCCGGATCACTGCATGTACGGGAGTAACTGCAGAGAGGCTGAGCGCGAAGGAGTGTCTGTCCTGCACGGGAACCGAGGCGTGTACCACGACAGCAAGCAGCCAACATTCAGAGCGCTGTACGAAGCAATACGGGACGTAAGTGTGCTCTGGAAACCACCAGCGGCAGACACAGCACTGCGGGCATTGTGGTCACCAGGCCCATCGAAGGCCAAAAACTGCCCCAGGAAAACACGATAAAATAAGGGACATTATTTAGTTCAAGTTCCATATGTTGCCTGGTTGCCAGCCCCAACTCCTTGAGCAGTCAGGTTTAAGTTGGTCAATTAGAAGAAGTCAGTTACTGACTTAACTGAAACAGGACAAGCAAGAGGTAAAAGAAGGTACTTTCTCCCCAGTGCGCCACTGTCCACACCAAAAAGTGTGGGGTCAGGGCATGTGGATACAGCACAGATGGTGAGAATTCTTATGGCCAGGGAACCCCAGACAAAAGGCTTCTCATCTCTCTGGTCCATGGACCAGGGATGGGGGAAGGGGAAGAGGAGGACTGGGTAGGAGTGGAAAGGAACTAAGTCAAGGGGGGTGAAGTGCCTGGGTCAAGGCGCCCCCAACAAGGAGGCTTCCAAAGCTGGGCGCCTGGGCTAGGAATGTAGACTTGTAGATGAGCATGCCTGGCCCAGGGCAGAAGGACAAAGTCCTTGCCTGTGGTGCCCTCAGGAAAACTGAAGCGCAGTAGCTGGTCACCAGATGTGACGTGGGGAGAATAGCTTCCCCGAAAAGCCAGTCAGGCAAGCCTATAATTGCCCGTTATTGGTCAGAGGGATCACATTTCTCCGTAGTTTTGCTTTCTATGGTTTCATTTACCAGGTCCTGCCCATGGTCCAAAAAAATAATATGTGGGAAATTCCAGAAATAAACCGTTCAGAAGTTTTGAAAACCACGTGTTCTGAATAGCATGATGAAATTTCGTTCTTTCCCACTCTATCCTGCCCAGGGTATGAATCATCACTTTGCTGGTGTATCTCCTCTGTATACATTACGCTCCCATTGGTCATTTAGTAGCCAAACGGTATCGGTTCTATAGGGATGGATACTATCCACAGCTTCAGGCATCCACTAGGACTCGGAGGATAAAACAGGGAATATTGTATAAAGTTTGGGGCACTGAGTGAGTGGTGCCCCTTACCACCTGAGACCTGCTCTTACTTCCTTGAAGAAATGGATTGGCAAGTGTTCAGAAGGAATTAAAGACATATGTGAACTATCTTCTTGCAGTAAATGGGAAGGTTAAAAGAGTCTTACTCATGGAGGGCCTGCCTTGCAAGTGTGAAGCCCTGAGTTCAAGCCCCAGTCCCACCCAAAAAAAAAAAAAAAAAAGAATCTTACTCTGTGGCTCACTACCTAAAGTCTTGTCAAGAGCTGCCTGCTAGCCCTTGGTCTTCCACATTTTGGGAAATGCTGTATTTCCCCCATTATCTTTTACCTTGAGATTGCTAAGGGAAAAGCAGGCACTTTCCGAGGCTACCCTGTTGAAACTGTAAGTCCAAGACATGGAGCAGGGTTAAGTTAACACACTGGGGCCAAATCTACCCTGTTGTCTGTGTTTGTAAGACATTCAGGGTAGAATGATTTCTATATATCTAAATACATGGGATGGACTGGGATGTAGCTCAGTGGTTGAGTGTTTGCCTAGCATGTACAAGGCCCTGGGTTCGATCCCAGTACTGCAAAAAACAAAACAAAACAAAACAAAAACCAATCTAAATACATGGGAAAATTAAAATAGTATCTTGCAACATGAAAAAGCATTTGAAATGCAGATTTCAGCATTTATAAATAAAGTCCCATTAGGACACAGTGACACCCGTTCTCTGGCTGCTTTGTTGTTAGGACAGCAGCGGTGATTAGCTTCGAACAGAGACTGTGGTTGGTGTCCACAAAGTCAAAAATGTTTGCTAGCTGATCCCTGTTACAGGAAAAGTTTTCCAGCCCCTGACATAAAGTCAGGAGACTGACATTTTAAAATGTAGATTTCATTAGATACTTTTTTTTGCAGGGGGAGGGGTGGCAATTCTGGAGTTTTAACTCAGGGTCTTGTACTTGCTAGGAAGGCACTCTACCACTTGAGCCATGCCCCCAGTCCTATTTGTTTTAGTTATTTTTCAGATAGATTCTTACACTTTTTACCCAAGCTGATCCTCCTACCTCTGCCTCCCTCGTAACTGGGATTACAGGTGTGCACCACCATGCTTGACTTGTTGGTTGAGACACGTTCTCACTAACTTTTGTTCCAGCTGGTCTTGAACCACAATCCACCCATCTCCATCTTCCAAGTAGCTGTGATTACAGGCATGTGTTACCATGTCTGGCCCTAGAGAATTTATTTCTTAATGATTAGGAACCACACAGTTTTCACAACGAGGCTTTGGTGGGAGTGGGTAGGGGAGAATCCTGTGACATAGCAGCACATTTTTGGGTCTATGAAAACATGCACTTTGCTAAAGAATTCCAACTCTGGAAATCCCGGTGCTGTCTTCAGTGCAGGGGACAAGTTTAGCATGTATCTAAGCTAACACCTCTTTCTTTTTTTAATGTTTGGTTTTTCAAAGGCCAGGTGATTAAATGACATAGAAAATCCATTCTGTTCTCAGTGGTAGCCTCACAATGTGGTTATTTAAACTCTGGCTGGAGGGAAAAAGTGGTTCAGAAACACTAGTGGACACTAAACACGTGTGCAGCTGGGCTGCTCTGACTGTTCTATGAGGTGGCAGCCCTGGGTTGGAATTGAGAAACTTCAATTGGTTGTTTCTTGAGCTATAACTCATCTGATTTTCTGTGGGATCAGAAAAGGAGCCAAATAACTCTGTTTCTTAAGTGATCCCTGCCCATTCTCTCAGCACTTTTTCTCACTGGGGCATGAAAAGACAGTTTTGATCCAGGCATTTCAATCAGCAAAACCACCAATCCCCCAATGGATTTGTGAGTCTGTCTTTGCAGACTCCATCAGAAAAGATGAGTTTTCCAACTTCTGCAGGTTGTGCATCATAGTGTAGAGGCTCAAAGCCGGGCTTTGGGCCTAGACAGACCTGGGTTCAAACCCCAGTTCTGTCCTTTTCTGATAATTGATCATTAACCACGTTACCTTACTAGGCCTCAGTTTCCTCATCTAAAATGAGGTAGATAACATCTACCTCAAAAGAGGTGAGAAGTTACAAACAAAAGATTTTTAGCCGGGCACCAGTGAGTCACGCCTATAATCCTAGCAACTCGGGAAGCTGAGATTAGGAAGATCGAGGCTCAGACAAAGAGTTCAAGAGACATCCCCCCCACCCCATCTTCAGTATAACCAGAACAGAAAGGACTGGAGGTGTGGCTCAAGCAGTGGAGTGCCTGCTTTGTAAGTGTGAACCCCAGTCCCATCAAAAAAATAATAATTTTTAAACTTTTAGTATAGCACTTGACTTAACCATTATATTCAGTAAGTAGCAGAAGTTGTTTTGATGATCAGGATTTGACACTTACCTCTTCTACTAGCTTATTCACACTCATTCTCTCTGTGTGTCTCTGTGTGTGTGTGTGTGTCTCTCTCTCTCCCTCTCTTCCTGTTAGAAGTATTTTGTTTCTCTCTCCTGTGTACTCACAGCCTAACCCGGAGTGTATGTGTCTGTGTGAAGGGCCAGTAAAATCCACTCCCACCATGACCCAAGCAAAGTCAGATACCACATGACATTCTTTTAACAGTCATTCGCAAAGCACCTAGTGTATGCAGGAATAACTCCAGCTGCTGGGAATTTGGGAGTTAGTAAGACAGAAAAGCCCAGGTCTTCATGAAGCACAGATTCTGGTGGAAGAAGTCAGATGACATTCATAAATAAATAAAAACCCTATTAGAGCCCAGTATGGTGGTTCACACCTATAATCCCAGCACTCAAGAGGCCGAGGTAGGAGGATCATGAGTTCAAGGCCATCCTGAGCTACATAGTGATACCGTCTAATAAAAACAACAAACAAACAATAACAAACAAAAAATCCCATCCGAGGGTGGAAGGTGTCTATAAGGTGTGAGTCTGAAGTCCTGGGTATAGAGGAGCACCCCCCTAGCCCAGGTCATCAGGAAGGCCTCTTGGGAGCCTAGAACTTGCTAAGACAGAGGCAACATGGGGAAACCCAGGGAGGATCCTACTGAGTGGAAGCAATAACCAGGGGGAAGTCCCTGGGGATGAATTTGGCAGGCCCAAAGGACATGAGCAGAATAGATAAGGGAGAGAAGAGGGTGCGAGGCAAGGTTCCAGGTCACCTGACACTGAGAGCTGGTGGTGTGGTTCACGGGGTAGAGCGCCTGCCTGGCAAGTGGGAGGCCCTAAGTTCAACCCCCAGCACTGTCCAAAAAAGAAAAAAAAATCATCAAATGTTGAATATTAAAGTCTAGGGGAAGGATCAACCACTAATATTTAGTACCTTAATTTTTTCTTTTCTTTTTTTTTTTCTTTCTTTGTAGTGCAGGGATTCAGACCGAGGTCTTGAGCACACTAGGCAAGTGCTCTTCCATGAGGCCACATTCTCAGTCTCGTGCCACAAATATTAAAGTCCATTGCCAATAAACAGCAGTAGTAAGATTACCATAGACACACCCTAAAGTTTCTTCAAGGTTAAAAAAAAAGAAAAAGGAAGTGTTTGGTTGTAATAGAGTTCAAGTACCTGTGGAGACTTCTTTACAAACTGTTCTCACCTGAGACATTCCCATCGTTCTCAGATTTAAAGACCCTGAAGGACCCAAAGTAATCATCTTATTTTTCCTAAAAGTTTGAGAAACTGAGGCCCCAAAAGGTTAAATGATTGGAGTTGCACAGCCAAGCCAAAATTTGACTTTGGGAATTCTTTTGCAAAGTCTTAAGAACACACAAACCTGTGTCTGTGTCATTTGTTGACAAAGTGATTTGTGTTTTAAATGGCATTTCAGCAACTAAAATAAACTTTTTCTCTCTTTCTTTTATTTTCCCTGTCACCTCTCAGTTTCCCTTTCAAGACAATCTCTTTCAATCCATGTACTACCCACTTCAGCTGAAGTTTCTGGAGACGGTGCACACGTTATGTGGACGAATCCCGCAAGTGTTTCTGAAACAAATTGAGAAAACCATGAGAAGGGCTTATGAGAAGCACGTGGTCATCCATGTTGGCCCCAACCATGTGCACTGAGTAGCTCATGAGGTTGCAAGTCAATTAGGTGGACATACTGATCCCCATGCTGCCTGGATCCTTCTCTGTGTCCACCTTCAATGGTATTCTACCACTGTTGAGTTTAAAAAGTCTTGTTAAATTTTGCTAAATTAGTTACCACTAAAAGGGAACATGCCATTCTTTATTTTTTCTAAAATCTTATTTATCTCTATAATAAAAGGAAAAACAGGGTTCACACCTATAATCCTAGATACTAGAGAGGTGGCGGTAGGAGGATTACAGTCTAAGGCCCACCCAGGCACAAGCACAAGACCCTACCTGAAAAACCAAAAGCAAAGGGACTGGGAGAGCGGCTCAAGTGGTAGAGCGCTTGCCTAGCAAGCGGGAAGCTCTGAGTTAGAGCCCCAGTACCACCCCTCACACACAAAAATCCACTTCCTTATTATGCACTTACCATTGCTCCAGCAGGTGGAGTGGGCTGAGAAAAGGAAGTTTTTCTGGCCTTCCAAACCCTGTTAAGCGTTTGACACCATGTCGGGGTGTCCAGCTGTTACATTCATCTAGCATTTCTCATAAGCGCTTTCTATGCCGTTGGCTCCCTCTCACCCTTGTTACTAAAGCTGGGCTGGAGGTGTGGCTCGAGCAGTAGAGCGCCTTCCCAGCAAGCACGAAGCCCTGAGTTCAAATTTCACACACAAAGTAATAAATACTCATTGTGAGACAAACGAACTTGTAGAGAAAAAAAGGTCAGTGGGCCAAAATCAAGATTACATCAGACATAATCCTACCAACCAAAGGATTGTTATTATTTTAATCAGTTTCTTTCCAGACTGTACCCCCTTTTCCTTTTTAGCATTTCCCCCCTACTTAAAACAGGTAACCTCAGAACAAGCCAGCCCATATGCTGAGATTTTTGTGTGGAAGACTACAAAAAAAGTTAGACAAGATAATTATGTTTATAGCACTTTACTTACAAAATATCTGGGAGAAGCATTCAGATATCAGCTAATTGGGCAGAGTAAAAGGAAGAAGATATATCTGAAGGTATTTCTTTTAAAAAAAATATTGCTTAGATTTGTGGAGGACTCACTCCTAAGAAATTCCTATGCAACAGTAGCTTGTGAAACAAAAATCAGTAATTGGGTTGAGCCCAAGGAATTTCTTTAGCAAAGAAACGTGATTTGTTTCTCCACAGACAAGAACACTGGATTTCTTAAGTCCTCACCAGGTGTGGTCATCTCTTTTCTGTGAACTGTTGCACAGTGGGTGGAAATCAAAGAACAACTTCAGATTTAATTTGTTTAAAATAGCTCAGATAATTCCATTGACAAGAAGATTCAACTTCCTACCAGCCTTAGAAAGTTCTCTTTAATTTTTAAAATTTTTTCTCTAGGGTCACCCAGCCGTTAGCCTAGAAACCTGGCAGGCCCTTATCACCTAGCTACAGTAGAGGAAGTTCTATATCCTGTTCCCCAAAGGGTTCTGACTTAATCCTTAATTGCTCATATGGTTGGGGCATTTTGCATACTATTTTATTTATCCCAAATGACTTTTGCACAAATGACCTCTTTGATGTTTCCAACAGCCTAGTGAACTGAGAAGGGGCCTGTATCATCTCCATGAGGTAAAGAAGGAAACTGAAACACAAAGAAACAGGCATACCCAATATAATTGCTTTTTTGAAAGCATGAGTCTGTGTAAGGTACATCCTATTTTACAGGAAATAAAAATATTAAATACCTTTCATCATATATGGAAAGCACTCTGAAAGTATAAAGTGGAAAATACTATTTTGTTAATGCAAATATGGTATCGTACGTATCAGAGTCCAGTGGGATATCATAGGTGCTTTATCAGCAGAAAATGTCTTGCCCTGAAAATACACGTGAAAATCTCAGACTACAAAGAAATATACAGGTGTCAATCGGTATATGGCACCATCATGGTAGTCACAGATGTAAACCTAAAGTGTTAAGGTAACAGGTCCCGCTTTTTATCAGTTGGGTGGCCTGCATTTGGTTATTTTTGTGATGTGAAACTCTTTATTTTTGCTGTTAAATTTTGTTTACCACAGAGGTGATGTCATTATTTTGCCTCTCTTATGTTAAGCCTTCCACCCACGCCATGGGAATACAGGATATGCAGCAACTTTTAATTGTCTTTTTGTTAGAGGAAAATGTTATCCTGTATACCCATAATTAGGGTTTTAGTGAAAGAGCCCGGATGTAATATCAACCTGTTTCCATTCCAGTTTTCTTCCTACCTGTTCAGAACGGCCAGTGAACCCACAAATACCATAAAGACTTGTTAGTGGTTCCCAGACCTAAAGAACTTCCTGCCCTCCTTTGGGAGGGAGTCCAGAGTTCTGGAACCCGCTGTGATGACTGCAAACACAACAAAGCCTTTTCTTTTATGAAAGGCAGGTTTACTCACAATTCTTGGCTATTGGTGCCTGACTGAACACACAGACCCAGTTGCCAGTAAAGGTCAATGGTAGAATTCTAGAACATTCTAGAATGATGACTTACTAGCATGTGACACCTTGAAACCTGGTGTGACTTTCTACCATTGAATTCCTGTGCTATAGCCTTAGATTGTAGGTGAGTCTGGTGGAAAATGTAGGGAAATTTTGTTCTCCTAATTCCTTCTACCTTTTTTAAAGTGCTAAGTCCTCTCTATACTAGGATGCTACCACAAGGCAGTATTTTCTCTGCCTTTGGTAAGTCATAGCAAGTACACCTTCAAAATCTGGGAGCCACAAATTTTAATTCAGTGGTCTTCTAAAACATGTTATCTGTGGTCTGAAGCTTGACAAAGGTTGGGTTGAAACCCATATGCCACACTGAATCCATATTGGGAAGAACATGGCTGGTTCTCTTTTGTCCCCCTGACTTCTCTTTCTCCCCACCCTCCCTCTCTCTTTTCCTCCCTTCCCACTCCCCTCTCCTCCCTTCTTCTCTCCTTTGCTCTCCCTGCTCTTTTCCCCTTTTCTACTCTCCTCTTCTCTCTTTCCCATTGTTTCATGCACGTAACTATGAAGCTCCATCAGAGAATGAAGAACAAACACTATTTTTAATAGTAAAATGTGACCATATTTTTGTATGCTTTGAAATCAAAGCTTTCAACAGTAGGGCCACTAGAAATGCTGATGACAGTTTTCTTCCTGAGGTTTTTTTTTTTTCCCCCCAAGATAAATCTGAAAAATTGTGGCTTACTTTGAAAATTCCAGTATCTAAAAAATAACTGGCTTAAAAAATCAATCTGAGTTTTTCTTCAACTTCAAAAATGACAATTTAGCATTTTGGCATAGTACTCTAAGCTTGATTTTCTACAGAAAAATCTCGATTCCATATTGAGTGCATCCCATTGTAAGGTGCGACTTTTACTGAATTTGATATAAATTTGATGTGATACGGACTTACAGAGGTTCAAGAATATTTGTTTGATTGCTCACAGGCAAAAATAAACAAGCAAACCAAACCATGCACAATGATTCATATTATAATTCACAGTGATTGATCAAAAAAAATAGTGATCCAGGAACTGACTCATCTCTCCACCCCACCCAGCAAAGAGAACATTCATACAAATTTAGACGTATGTGTCAATGTTGGTTGGTATTTATCATGAAAGATAAATGGTGTGTGTTTGATAAGCCAAAGAGATCATGATTTCATGACCAAATCCAGAAATACGTTGAGTTCCACTATGACACATACCGGTCTTACTTCCTAGAATGCTAGGCAATGTTTTATTTCTCTCCTTTTTTTCTCCTGTATTTTCTCCTTTTTCATTGCTGCCTTTCCCTTTCTGTCTATGATGTAAGCTCCTGAACAGTACAGAAAGCTGGGCCTTCAGTAACTGAGTGACAGAACATGGGGATCCCTGTGCAGGCACAGCCAAGTTCTAATCCTTAGATCAAATCTTTTCATGATAAGTATTTCAGAAAACACTTATTTGAAGTGTTTATTAAAAAAATAGCCCAGCATGCACACACACATACACACACGCATGCACACAGGCTTTTAAAAGGAACCAACATTTGTCATACCTGTGAATTAAAGAATTATAAGATAGTCAAACCTTAGGTCTAATCATTTCACAATTGTATTGCTGATATTTAAAGCTGATTTTCTTTGGCAAAGTGACAGAGAGCTTTGTCCTAGTTTTTGTTTTTCACAGGTGAAAACTGGAATTATTGCCTTGCGTGTTCAAGATAAAGCACTGTATGTGTCCACCATATGCACGACTGTGTAAGAATCAGGTGCAATTTCTGCTTCCTCAGGTTTACATGCTCGTGTTGTCACTGAAAAAGGTGTACCCACTGTTCATAGCTCCCAAGGAGACCCAGAATGCATTTTTTTATGTTGAAAACTTCTTTTATACCTTTTTTGTTTGCAGGAAAATGAGTACAGAAAAGAAGACCCCCCCAAAGAAAATGAATTATTACAATGGTTAAAAAGGACACAAGTATTGTGATTTAATTTCTGTCCTGTTTTTTAAAATGTCATCTGTTTTGCCTTGTTTTTTTAAATTAAAAGCTTTAAATGCATGTCTTTTGTTATTATTTTGGAATTGCGTATCTTTTCCCTTATAATATTTCAAGCTTAAAAATTTAGAATGTTAAATAATAATCCCAGCACCTGAGAAACTGAGGCAGGGGGATTGTGAGTTCAAGGCCAACCTGGGCTACACAGCAAGATCCTGTGTCTAAAACAAAACAAATAAAAAACCCACCTGGGTTGCTGACAGAGTGACTCAAGTGGTGGCGTTACCTGTCTAGGAAGCACGAGGCCCTGAGTTCAACCCCCCAGTACTGCCAAAACAACAACAAAAACAAACTGAACTGCCAAGGGTTCAAGTTGACAGGAGTATTTTCCTTTACAATCCCTAGTCTATTAGATAAATACAAAGTACTGATTCATCAGTGCGTTTTCTCCTTATATACTCAAATTTTTTTAATTCTAGGGTATTGAATTAAATACCCTAGAAATGGTCTTATGGAATAAGACCATATCAAATTATTATTTGAAATGTATCGAGGCAGTACATACCTTTAGATAAAACTGAATTTAAATCCTAGTTCCACCATTCTCTAACAATGTGTGACCCAGACACTTACCAGTCCTCTTTGCAGCACTAGAATAAGGCTGAGGATGACCCTCTTCAGATACTGTTGTGGGGATCAAATGGTGTAATGCCAGAAAGTACTTGGCTCATGGCAAACGCTCAATGT